GTTGCATAGAATTGCACATGTGCTAAGACTCAAATCTGTCCTATCTGATCATCACAAGGAATTAACATTGTTTGAATTTCTCTTTAATATGCCAAATCATACAACTAACATACAGAAAAGTTATGCACATTGCTTACATGTAGAAACATGATACTCATTTATAGATTCAAATGAAACAGATGTCACACTAAATTTTTAATATACCGATTCTGAGTGCTTATTACAGTCAGGTTTCCTAAAGTCTAGTCTTGCTTTCAGAACACTAAAGCCTTGCTAGAGACTATAGCAGGGACATAATTGGAAACGTTAAAGTACCTGAGATTACCTCAGAAGCTTAGAAATTTGTAGCAGGTAATAGCTCAAATGTAAGGGTAAAAACTGACTATTCATTTTTGAAATATATACAGGAACCTTCCAAATCAATCACACAATCCATCATATCTCAGCCTGGACTCTTAATCTTCTTGTAAATATAGGGATTGAAAGAGATGAACCATCTTAATCAGATCTTTCCTCCATCACAAAATTACTGCTGTCACCAGCACTGACACAAAAATGACTAATTTCAGCTAGAATCTGTAACAACTACTAAAAAAAGGTTACATTGCCCACCAAATACACACATAATGTAAAATTTCATAGCCTATCTATAGGAATGCAAGTCATTAACTGACTACCCATACAAGTCAGTGAATCGCTAATTCCTATGGCAAGGCAGCCGAAGATGTTCCACCACCTCAGCACCTATTACCACGACCACATCTGTCAATTCTTGGATGACTTTTAACATAGAGACGACAGACACGACGTGTCACCCCCTGGAACCTTTATGAGACGACAGACGGCGTACAGTCTCCAATTCCCTCTAAAAGTCCAAATGGAAAAAAACTGCGCTACTACTTGTCAAAGAGTCTTGTTTCCATCTGGATGTTCATATTTGCAAGAGTCCAGAAAAATGAATCTGAAACCAAACTGAAGAGAACCTATACATAGCCTCCCCCAAAATTCAGTGCGTTCACAAAGCAAGCACTGAGAAAAATCACAGAACTGAATTCTTAGCTGTCATTCATTAAACACCACTGGTCATGGGTGAAGAGAATCGCATCTGAAAGCTTCCAGAAAGACTTCCTCTCAAAGGAAAAGAGAAAATAAGAGGCATAGTTCACTGAGGTGAGCTGTAAAAGTGAACTATATGAAACAATATTTGTGAAATAGCACTTCCAAACAGTCCTCAAAACCATAAAAAACTCAGAAAGTTTTTGCTTGTGAAAAACTGTAAGGAAAGAAAGGAGATTCAAGTTACAAAAGAGGAATTTTGTACAACATGCAAAAGCAAATATGTCCTCCTATTTGACAACTACTTCAGATTTTTAAGTCAAATATCTTTTTTTCCCCAGTTACAAAGGGAAATTTGGAAGCTGACAATTTTAACATTAACCTCCTACATCAGAAAATATTTGGGGTATTTCCTAATGTTTTCTAAAAACAGAAAAAAACATCAAAATCACACTATATATTCTAAATGTTCTATCACTGAGACTTTACAGTTTACAATGATGCCCAATCATAGCTTTTCTTTAGTGACTTTCTTTTCAAGAAAATGAAAGCTGTATTACAGATTTGCAACAAACCTGTTAAGAGCAAACTGCAAAACATGTACTGATTTCCCTAGCTGCCTTACATATTGAAGTTTTGGCGTCTTACATCAAATGTAAAAGCTTGCTTTGATTTTTCTCAAGAATGTGATATTAATATATTTATTTTTATTTTTATTAAGCATAATACTACTACTACTTCATTAGAAAGGAAGAGACATAACAGTTTCATACCAAGAAGTTTGAAGCAAAGGAAGCGGTTATACAGGCCAGTAAAGTTTTGCTACTTGTCAGCTCGGAATAGCATGAGGCTTCCAATGACCTTCCTTGTACCACGAATCCAATTTATGGAGACAGAAATCTCACATCTGTACCTCGACATATTGGGAGGTACATTACAGTGATATAAAAGTTTAATTTTCTCTCCTAAACCATACCTGTTTAAACCAATAAAGAACTAACACCACTTTTACTCGCTCAAGTGTCGTCAGTAGTTATAAAACGTTGTACTGTTTATGCAGAATTCATTTCGAATGCAAGGATGTGACTTACAAATGTCTTTGACTCATTCACATAAATATGCATGCACGCCATTTATAACAGTAGCCTTGATGAGAACACACAGTGTAACTGGCTGCAAGAAACGCTTAAGAGGTTTACATTAAAACAGAATATAGAACGGTGGTTAGAAATCACAGAACAGGTGACACCTTACTCTGATAACCTGGTGATAAAAACTGTAGGGTATGATGTATAGGTTGTGGCGTTACCACTTTACTTTACAGTCCGAACAGTATTCTTCGGATACTGCTCAGTTTTAGCAAGATATAATACCCAAGGCAGACCACATATAAAAATTGTGATTAATCTTAAAAAAAAAAGTGATTGCCTCCTAAATCATTTACTTAAAAACAAAGACATTTAGACTTTATTTTGTATTAGAATGTTTGTAACACAAACCTTTTAAAAGTATAATTAATTCTTGGTTTGACAGAGTAATTTGCTTCAACTATTAAAATACTGTTCTTATTGTAAGACTTACAATTTAACAAAGGAAAAAAACCACCTAAAATGCAGCAATCCATGGGCATAAATAGAAAGTTCAGGCAATGTGAAGAATTCCTGTGATCATAGAATGATATTCTGATAAGAATATTGGTAAGACTTCTAGGCACCAATATTGCTAACTCTTGAAATATATTGCTGTGACAGATCAGAAAATTGCATGTGCTGGCTCTTAAACAAAATAAAGCCAAAGGGCTTCCAAGAATGCAAGAAAAACTATATTGATAAGAACCTACAGTGGGAAAAAAATGTAACTAAATTTCTAATTTCAATTTTAATTATTAAATGCACTTTTTCCTAGGTATTTGAAGCCAAAGAAGGTCTAATTGCAAAATTGTGCTACTCTAATGGCTCTGACAATATTTTGATTTATTAATCTCTTGGTCACATACAGATATCTGGTCCCACATGAAGTCTTTATAAAGACAGCAAGACATTCATAAAATCTACGAACACTAGTTCTATTGCATGACTGTGTCCAGAGTACGTACTTAAAACTAATTCTTTTTCACTTATTGTCTGTCCAAGCACCTAATTACATAAGTCCACATTTTTTAAAATCTCCATACAAATACAGTTTTAAGGTACAGATGAAAGGCTATTGACAAAAGATGAAGTTACCAAATAACATTTCTATTCAACGGAGTACAGAGCAATGCCTAGCTGCCTAATGAACTAATGGAAACATTAGGTGATCTACATACATACATCATACAGACAATTCCACGCGGCCTTCATTAGCTGCCAAGGCCAAATAAGACCTTCCACAACACGGCCAGCTGCTGGTGCCAACCCGCTACTTTATAGATACCTTCCACAAACTATGATAATTATTCCAGAATGTTTCTATCAACATATAATTGCATCCATCCCATACACTGCCAAATAGGCTCAAGCTGCTAAGGCCATTCTTCTAGCAGTAATTTAAGTACTGTTGTAGAGAAGAAAAACGGAATCTATCATACAGAGAAGACAGGAAGACACTGTCCAATAGCAGGCTGTAAACCAGAATTTTTTAGTAGTAGCACACATGTAAAAAGCAGAACTTGTCCACCAACAAAGAACAAAGCAAGTAAGATTTTGCACTGATATTTAAGCAAATGATATACAAATATATCACTCAGACAACAAAATGGCCTCACCGTGCAATACTGCTTTTTTTAAATAGAGCTAATGTTTACTTCAGACCTACAGGTTACTACATTAAAAACCCACATAGAGCAGATGGAAAGGCTGCTTGCCAGCAAAAGAAAAGATTAAAAAAACCCTCAGCCTTTTAAAAGCCAGTTGAACTGTTGGAAACAACTGAAAATTAAAACCGCCCACCCTCTGCGCATGTATTCTTTATGGTCCCCAAAAGCATCCATCAACAACTCTGCTAGAACTACGATCCCTAGCACACCTCAGGAGTCACGATAAAGACTACATTATCATTGCCCACAGTTCAAGTAAAGGGGTTGAAGTGGATGTTGTTTTATCCTGGAATCAATAGGGGTTTTTTGTTTTAATTACTTTCTAGGGTTCAAGGAGTGCAGAACATATGGCTGCTGTTTAAGATGTCAGAATGCAAACCTGCAGTCTGTATATGGCTCAGTGTAACAGGGCCTCACGGTATCTTTTCTGCTGCTCAAGTCATAGGTGGAAGCTTGTGGTCTATACAGATCTACAAAATGATGCCAAGAGCATAAGGACATAATTTCACATCAGCTGCCCTGTTTGTGTAAGTCTGTGATGTAACACAGGTGAAAGAATTACACAATTTTAAAAATTTAATAATAAACTGGACACGCGGCACAATTTTGCTTCTTGCAGAACAATCCAGTTCATTATTAAGTATCTATCTACGAATGGTAGATGCACTCTCAATGTTAATTAGTAACACATATTGAAAACCTGATCTTCCTGTAACTTCAGGAAGACTGAGACACAAATTTTCTCAACCTACTAAAATGCACAGTCATCCTTTTGGACAGACATCGCTCCAAGTCTCCCCTGTCAGTTTATAAAAGGGATAGCTACATATGAGTTAAATTATCTCTTTCTCATTTCCTAGTATTTATTACCACAGGCAGCCACCACAACAGCCCGCTATTACAAGTTGCATTTGTAATACAATGAAAATTGCTTCAAAGTATTAGAGTAGCATCATGTCCAACAACTTCTTTTTTTTTTTTCTCCTTTTTTTGGAGGGGGGATAATTTCATAGCCAATGAAAAAGTAAAGCAAATAAAACCAACATGAAATTGGTAAAAGCGTGATTCCTGTTGAATGATATCTATTAGCATTAGGTTACCAAGGATTTCCTTTTTTGAAGATAGGTATTGGAAAAGTGAAGCTTACCTGCAGAAGCACTGTGGAATCTCTCCTTGACCATACAGAGGAAACAAAAATGGTGTATTGCCATAGCGGCCAAGGCACTGAAGAAATTTTTTTGTTGCCTGAAGACCTTCAAGAGTGCTGCAATCAGTCTCTGAAACCATTGCGATAGAGTGAAGAATAAAGTGCTGCAAGCTGGGTGTTAACTTCCGTGTTCTTAAGAACTGAGCAAATGTACTGTTCTCATAGTCTGAGGAAAAAGTAAATTTAGGTAAAGGGTATAGGTATATATATATAGGGTATAGGTGTATATATATAGATTATTTGTATTTTCTCATATGCTTCCACTTAAACAAGTACTTTTGTATCTAAATAAACAAAAGCCTTTGAGTTTTTCAACAAACATATTGCTGAAAATGGATAATCCAAGTCAATGAAAGTTAAAGAATTTACTCCCAGAAAGTGAGTTCTCAGAAGACAGAAATATCACTCCATTAAAATATTTCAAAATAATGCAAACCCATTGTAACGCAAACTCCAACAGTCTAGAAAGCAATCTCTAAACACGGCCTCATCTATTCATTATGTTAGACTTGATCTAAACCCACTTCTCAGTCATATGAGAAAAGTGAAAAACTGTGGACAAAAATCCATTGAGGTGCCTTAGGACGCCGTTTCCTGTAAATTACCCAAATTATTATACCTGAATGACACCCATTCAAGAAGAGTACTGCTGAATCTATACTGATATGGTTAGTGCGTATTTATGCGCAGAGAAGCCATTCACATAGTGTCTTAATCCAAAGACGAGAAGGCACAGTATTTATTTCGAATCGATGACTTGCTTGGAACAAACAAGTATGGATGAGACACAAAGACGACAGGGATGAGGAAGCACATCTTCCCTTTGAATGAATACTATTGCTGAAACATTTTGAAATTCAAAGAACCGCAAGTTGCTCAGGAGATGTGTAACGTGTGTTGCACGTCACTGATACAACTCTGAAAAACTTTAGTTATCTTAGTAACTAAATGATTGGGTTTTTTTTTCCCTAGGAGAAGACTGTATTTCAGCAACAGCATACTTACATACAATTCAGAAATCTGCTCTTAAGCTTATTTCAGTCACGGATAAATTCATAGGCAATTCAGAAACACTTCCATCAACGCTGAGACTAGTATTATCAAGCTATGTATTCTGTTCAACATTCAACCACTGTTTTATTACCTATGTATCTTACTACCCTTTGTACAGCCATGCAGCAAGTCATAAAATGACAGGGTTTTTTTGTTTCATCATTCTAAAAAAATTCTCAAGTTTTTTTCCTCACTTCAGACTTCTTACATAACTCCAAATTTTACACAAAAAAAAAAAGCTTTAAAAAAATCTTCACTATCATGAACTCTCCCTATTAAAAGTCTGCCTTCCCACCAATGTGATGATCTCACCAAGAGCAATTTTAAATTTCTGAAGTCTTTACATTAGGCTAATCTGACTCGCAATATTCCCAATTACTTCCCAGGCTATTTTAAAATGTAGAACAAAATCTGTTTAACTACCTCTGGAAGTAAAATAAATCTAATGTCATTTCGGTACATGAATCAATGAATTAATTTAAAATTGATGTGGCGTCTCCTTTTTTTACTTAATAAATTTTCTAAATACCAGCTATATTCTTATTCTGAGCACCCTCATTTCTTCCATCAGCAACAAACCTGAAATTACCTGTAATCTATAAACCACTTCAGTCTAATGAGTTTTTCCCCCTTCAGGACTTTCTGGAGTTCAGAGACTCTTTCTCCTAATCTTACCACATCATTTTCAATACTGACTAATTCTCTCTTGCATATGTTTAAAATAATTTTCCCTAATGTTTGTACCTCATCTAAGGGTCTTGTTCAAGTCATCAAACAATACAACTAACAATTGTTTCTTTTTAACCCTAGATTTTTTCAAAAATACTGCCTAGCCAAGCTACTGTTGAGCTACAGAAGCACCAATATGCTTTTGAAACGTACGTCAAAAGTTTAATTCCTCTTTCCTCATTATTTCTTTTTGACAGATTTTTCTTTTTTTGCCTTAGTTTACTTTCAGACTCCAAGAACTGAGAACATCACTTCATTCTTTGTACCCTGAAGTGCATAAACCCAAAGCAGAGAGTGGGTTTCCATCATCTTCCTTCTGTTAGCCAATTTTCCTCTTTGACCTAATGCTCATTATTCTTTGCACATTATGGCTCAAATCTATTCAGATTTTCTCTCATCTAAATAAGCCATCAGTTGATAAAGGCACTTTGAACTTGCCCTCTGCAACTAAAAGGCATTAAATGACATTTACTTTCAAAGTTAAAAAAAAATTCCATTTTCTCCATTTCTGATTTTGTGGCAACATGCTGTGAAGATTTACATATTATCCAAAAAAAAGGGAAAAGAAAAATCAGGCACATCACACCATATTAAAAAAATCCCTGGGAGGGGGGAGGAAACACCTAAAATTGATAAAAAACATTTTGCAACCTTGCTGTAATATATAATTTTGCCATGAAAGAAAAATGTAAATAATAAATGACGTGGGAAGTAGAAGAGCAAGTGCTTAAGTAGAAGAATTTAACATTGAAGTGAAAAGGTCACAAAAAGGTCAACGCATACTTTGAAAATGAATCCATAAAAATAAATTGCGTGAAAACACAGGAGTGCTATCGAAATTGTGCATAACTCAATGAACTCGTAAGAAGAGAGTGTACATACACCGTTCAGTGAAACACTACCTTGGTATTCATCAGGGTGTTGTTCATAGTCCAAACAAAATGTCAAAAATTTCATTAGCATTCTCTTTTCCACCATAGTGAGCTGTTTGCTGTTGAAGACATCTGCTCTAGAACAAGGTACCTGGAAAATATTTTTTAATAATTTCAGATACTTTCCATACTCTGGATAGGAAAAGCATCAGGCAACACTATAGTCTGCTTACCTAACAAATATTTAAAATCACTATTTTATATTATCATTATTTTCTTATGTACTTCTTTCTATTATTTTCTACTATGACTATAATAAAGGTTACCGATTTTCCACAACAGAAATATTTTTAAATCTTTTTAAGCCTCTTCCCCTTTCTATTTCCCTTCAATTTCACTTGCGTCCCTGATTGCAGAGTTAATCAAAAGAGTTTGTATTAATTAACTGAGCCAAAATCTCCTGTTGCCATTATCAGACCAATGACCAATTTCAAGTTTCTTGACTTTAAAAGATGAGATGAAACATACGCAATACATTATTTTACAATACCTGTTCTACTTTTCCTTCTCGAAAGGCAAGAATTCGTGTCGCGTTTTTAAACTCTGCATATCTGCTAACGTTCGACTTAATCAGAAGGTCAATTAACAGACCTCGGGAGTAAAGCAACTGCACAGTGAAGAAAAAAAGAAAACGGTAAGTGAAGAGAAAGTGGTTACACCAAAAGAAAACAGTGATATCAACAATGTTCATTTGTAAGGTGTTTCCTTTAACTATTTACAAGTACACACAGTGACGTATAGTATTAAATGAACTGAAGTGCCCACACCAATGGAGGAGACAAAGCAGTCCACGGGACGGAAAGGGAGAAGGTGTCAGCCCACTGCTCATGTAGTTTTATTAGTCAGGCAAGTCACAGCTTAAGTCAATTTTCTGTATAATCATCTTGCATAATTTCTTTGTATTGCATGCTATGTATCCTTGAACACCGTATTTTACAGCCTTCATTCCCCAGTATCAGTGAAGTACATACACTGTCTGTGCAAATCATCACTAGTTGTTTTGTAAATTACCTGAAATGATAATGTCACATTTTCTTCATGTACATTCCTTAAAACCCCAGTTAAGGTTTAGTTATCTTCTGTTATGTAATTTATAATCTGTCTACCTTTACTCTTTCTATAAGCTACAAATATATTATGAAATACTGAAGGGACAGAAATGTAACTATTAACAGTAGACGTACGTCCAAACTGAAAAGCATTGGAGATTATTTAACCATGCTTCAAGCCTTGTGGCCCTGCGTGACAGAATTTGCATGACCACACAGGAATTTTCACGATACAGGTTTACTGGAACAGTAATGAGGACACTACGAGAAAGCCTGGGTCCCAGAGCCAGAGAGAAACCAACGCAAATCACTAGTCTTGCCTTGATGACTACTCTTCTGTCAGAATTTCTGGAATTCACTGCTTTTACATCATGTAACACAGTGGCACAAAAAAGTATAAAAAGGATACAAAATAGTATTATGTGCTTAACCACTCTACACTGACTATTGTTTTCATGATGTCATTCCAGTGATGCATGAGAAAAGTATCTCCATTTGGAACAGAGACACAAAATTTGAAATAATGCATTTTGTAGTGTCTCCACAAAGAATTTAGTGTTATTACTGAAGAAAGTTTTTTTCCAGTTTCCAGAGGTTTGAAAAAATCTTTTCATGCAGAGTATGAAAAATTGAGCATTCAACTTTGAAAAAACTTCCCATTGCTGAGTACACATATAGTCTAAAGCACAGAAGTTAAGAAAAATTTCCATTTTACTTGAATTTGCAAGGCCATATCCATATACCGTGAAGTACATAAAAGGCAGATTTTCGAGTTTAAACAGTATGACAAATATGTCAGACTAATAGTTTTTCCTCTAAAATGCACACTAGTAGGAATTCAGCACAATAATAACTAATTTTAGTCAGCTTGTATGTTATAGATTGACTGTAATTATTTTTTCTTTCCAATAAAATTTATTACAGTCCAGTGCTTTAGTCACCAGAGAACCACAACTGACATACATATAGAAAGACAACGAGATTTTCACAGGAAAATCTAAAACCCAGGAAGCACTTCAACAGGAAAATTATTTTTCATTTTAAAAACATCAAAGATCTGCATATAGGTTGATATTCTTTGTTTAAAAACACAATTTTTTTAATGGCACTATATAAAAAGAGCAATTTTGCAGGTATTACTTAAGTTTACTTTCAAGGACATATTTCGAGCTATGCTTTACCGTCTCGTTGCTTATAAAGAAACACTAAAGAGCACATATGAAGTAGCTTGCTTGTTTTAAGGGTACTAATTCTCGCTTACTTCTCCAGAGTGTCTTTTTTGCCTCAAAGGTCCTGTGTCAGCCCTCCACAACATTAAAGATTTTTTTAAAATTCCAGCATTTTAAGAAAAGTAAATGTACTTATATGAAGAGAGTCATTCAGTTCCTACCTTGGAAACTAAATCAATATTAAACCTTCTGCCTTCTCTAACAATTTGGGAATAAGCAATTTTCTTTGGTTCTTGGGCAGAAATTTCGGAGGGCGCAGCTTCAGTTTCTCCCAATTCCAGAGCGGATTTGCCTAAATCTGTACTATGAGGACTTTCATTCTCCGAGGTTATTTCTGTATCATTCCCTTCCATCGCACTTGCTGGCTCAGCGCCTGTCGCCTTTTCTGGTTCCCGGCTCTCCGCCTCCGGTAAGGTGCTCTCCGTTGGTGGGCACTCTTCTTCTGATTCCCGAGCAACCCCCTCAGCACCAGAGGCTCCAAAGACAGGCAGCTTTGGCAATGCACCAGCTTCTTCAACATCTTCTGCTGAATCCTGACTGATTAAAAACACAAGAGGAAGAAGGTGGGGGGAGGGAAGAGTCTTTTAAAGAGTCTTAAAAACTTGTTTAAGGTTTTGAGTCAGTGCCAGAATGGAAACCTCAAGCGTTTCTACGAAAAGCATTAGAATTTCTTTATCCTGGTCAAATCAGGTGTACCACCCACTAAAGAATTCTGGTTCTTTGACTACAAAGCTATAATTCAAGAGGAGTATTTTTACTGAGGAGGAGAAAAAAAAAAACAAACCCAAAACCCCAAAATTGGGGTTCTTATTTTATACAGACTCAAAAGATGGAATGAGCTTAAAATGAAAATCAAAACTCTCATGATAAAACACAATACACAGCTACATTAAAAAAAAAAAGGAAATAAAAGAAATACAGTATTTTAAAGAAACAGTAAAGTATTTGAGTAGGTTTTTCCTCTGGATTAAAAAAACCCTTTGAAATTGAAATGCAAAAATGCACTGAAGTCACAAAGCTCAGCTATTTTAAAAACCAAAGTCACTGAAGAAAACAGAAGTGCTTTATACGACTGAGACTACTTTGCATCTATTATTATAGCAAGTCCGAAAGACAAGCATGCAGTTTTGACCTGAAGTTCAAGCAAAACTTTCAGATTACTTTTTCAACTCTGACCTTGCATTCTAATTAGCTGTCCAAGTAACAGCCATACAGAACAAAGTTCCCTCATGTAGCAATGTTATTTTTATGCAAGTGTTACAAATTTGTGCATAGTAGATGAAGGCAGCCAGTCAAAAGGAGGGACATTACCACACAACATTTACTCTGTATAGTCCATTTCCTTTTCATGACACAATTCTTTAAAATTCCTCTTATAAAGCAGACCTGCACTTTTAATCTCATCTCCTCTTTTTATATTGAACTTCAATTACATCTACCTTAGAAACTAGTACTTTTGAACTTCGAATTTTAGTTTATACTACCAGCTGAGATGAATCAAATCAATGTCATTGTAAGTGAAAGGAGTTCAGCAATAATTTCACACTATCTTTTCATCTTTATACTACAAGCCATTAATGCACTGAATAAACAATTTAATCTTGGCTGAAAACTAATGAACTATGATTTTAAAGGTGACCTGCAAACGTACAGTACAAAATTTCAATAACTAACAGGATGGTTAAAATTCACTGAACAGTAAGGAATTACTCAGTCTACATATAAAAACGCTCCCTCACACATCTGTAGCCTTACAGATGGAAGCAGGGGGCAGGATTTCTGTTAAGAGAGGGAACAAAACCCCTGTATCCTTTAAAAGTTGCTCCTCACTTAGGAACTCGGGGAGCTCACACAGGCTCATGAAAACAAGAGTTTGGAATAAGTCTCTCGGCTTGTGCACAGCCACCAGGAAGCACTTATTCATGAATGGGCTAAAATATTGCCCTGGGAAATACAGGAACTGCTATAAGGAAGCACTAATGAAAGCAGTCTGTTTCTGTACATTAATTATGTCTTTTTGCTTCATATTGCAAGCATTAAATAACTATAAAATATCAAGGAAAGATAAGTACTTTGTCAAATGTGTTTTAAAAAAGTAATCTCTACTAAAAAAACAAATGGAAGTCAATTAAATTTTGGGGTTCTGTTTGGAGTTTTATTTCTTTTTAGGAATTTGGAACATGTTTGTGAAAACTGCAAAAGCTGTTGCCATTAATGCAATAACTAAGAATGAAGCTTTTATTTAACCCATCCTAAAGCTTTTTATAACACAAAAATTCAGAGGAAATTTTTCTTTCTACCTTCTCCCAAGCTCAATGTACAGTTCAATCTCATTTTAAACCTACCTGACTGTTACTTTTTAAATGAAAATAAAATTTGGATTCACAATACATTGTCTTTTTCCTGTATCACTCTGAAAAAGCAGTGTAACAGAAATGTTGTATTTACATATTTTAAATCTCTCTTCAATTCCCATTAGTGAATACGTAAATCTGCATGATTTGCGGCTCCACATTTTATAATGAAAGCCTAAAACCTGTATATAATCTAAATTCATGACATCCTTCCTATAGGAACAAATATCCCTGAATAATGTAAGAACTGTCTATAAAAATCACTCAAATTGAACTTTTGTACAGACAATTCTTCTCCTAATTCAGAAAAAAATAATACATCTGCAGACAAATTGTTGTGTAAATTTAGAATATTATCCTCCACCATTCATCAATTAATGGTACTAACAAAGGAATATCTTAAAATGAATGTGTCTTATTAATGCCTTGTAACAGCAACCCCTTCAGATAGGTCAAATGAAAAATTGCCAACCAGCTGGTTAATTTATTCAGCACAGGTGTTCACTATTTATTTTTCAGCCATTTGCCTTTTTTCAATACAGCTTGTTGTAGACACAGTATTCTTTTCCTTTGATGGATGCACTTTGTTCTAAGGCCATTCATTTCAGATTTGCACTGTGTATATTATACTGCTACCCAGCTGTTTATTCTTTCAAAATAAATGTTTAATGGTTACTTCATAGGAGTTATAAAAGTTAAGCAAAAACAACAGAATCTAGCCAGAACATGTAAATTGTCAGAAACACAATAATGACTCTCTCAGAAAGTTTTAAGTTATTTTGAAAACTTTTCCTTTGCTAGGCTTATGAATCTTATCATTCTTCCTTGTGGGTTTGCACAGTTTTTTGGTGATAATTGAGAGACACCACTGTACTGCCAGGCTAAGACAAATGCTTAAAAGTAGACTCTTCTACTTTGTCCTGACTCAAGTGCAATGCTCACTTCTACAAAGTGTGAAATCTTCATGCTAGGGGACTCATTTTTGAGCTGGCCTTCAGTCAATATCACATCATCTTAGGAAAATCATATGCAAAGTTAAGAGACTACGAAACCTTTGCTCTGATCTAATACTGGTTCTGAACAATATTTATTATGGCAACAGGATTACAATTACAATATTCAAGTGATACTGCTTTAAAACAAGCGTAACATTTTATCTGCAATACAGTTAAGCAGACATTACTGTGCAATGTAGAACTTCGGAATATTCCGAGTCTGTGACCTTCAGACTGTATTAGTATAATTCATACCTTTTTTTCTTTTCCTACGATGTTTACAGAAATAAATACATGTTTCTATATGAATATCTGTCAATGTTTCATTCAGCTACCTATGATATTGTCTAAGGGATTCAAGGTTAAACTTACGTAACTATCCCAAAGAACCTTTCAGGAATTCAGAACAGTGTTCAGCTCAGTGCAAAATCCAAAAGATAAAAATGATAACGAAATACAAAGAAATAGTTCAGTTTTCACTTGAGGCCCATACAATTTCCATTCATTATCACTACGCTTACACGCTATTCACCATTACTGCTTCACAAGGTTACTTTTAGATGTTCCTTGATTTTCAATAATGACATTGTGAAAAGCTTACCTTCTGCATGACTTACATATAACAGTATCATACTTCCATTTAAAAATCTAAACAAAAAATGAAATTTTTATTCTTAACTTCTGCTAAAGCAAACATACCTCTACGAATACCTAACTAAAAAATATTCACCACACACTCAGTCCTAAGATGGTGTACTATTCTTCACATGCTTATGCAACAAATATTCACAAAAGTAAATGTGTGTATTTCAAACTAAGCATGTATTTTTTGCATGTTATATGTAAAGTACGAGCTGAGTTACCTCACTTCAAAACCAGAAAGAAACAACAGCCCAGAAAGACTGTCAGTATATTACCAGGAGCCTCTGACCATGCAATTCCTTCTAAAAATAGCATGGGTAAGCACTGTTTAATGAGTAAATTAAACCCACTGAATATAAAAATGACAAGGGGCAAATATTACTTTATCATTTTAGCACAAGTATTTTATTGTTACAGTACTACTGTCCATTTTTGTTCCTATTCTTGTGTACTTATTTCATTTTACATGTACTTATGAGTTTAACTTTTTTCTATGAGAATGGCAGCTTATAGCCAAATTAAGAACGGGAAAATTTAATAGATGGTAGTGCATAACTACCTACTACTGATAATACTTACAAACACAACACTTCTGTTTTCTACTCAAAAGAAAATTACCAACTCACAAAGTTGGCCAACAAATTATATTTCATCCAGATAAGGTCATTTAGAAGGACCAGTTAGCTTCAATGAAGTGCATGTAATTTCAACAAAAGCACAAAGACATGAAGAACGTTTTAGAGCTCATGGTTATTTCTGAGACAACACACAATATGGTAGCGTGGTGAAATGCTTGAAGCCAGAAGCACAATATGATTATTTACCTCTGGGCATATAAAATTATTTGTATAATTATATATATATACTTACTCGCCAAAACAGAAATCTTCTACGTGTTGAATAGTTTTATCCTTCTTGCTCAGAGAAAGAACTTCTTCGTTCTCAAGGACCAGTTTTCTCCAGTCTTCACAGACATCACTGATGTCTGTCTTTTGCTTACAAAGAACAATTACAAAATTATTTTTTGTACCGTGCTAGCTGCTCTTGATAGTCTCAAATAAATTGTTGTACCATCTTATATTTTAAAAAAAGCATCATCTCAACTGTCTTAATGTTTTTTCTATTCAGATTTTTTGAGTTAAAATAGTTAGAGCTGGTTACTTTATTACAGCATGCCAACATTTGCACTACATTACTAGCTCTAGTCATCTGAAAATGCAGCGTTAAATGAAACACAAGTTTTAGTAGAGAGTTGAATATTAACTTTGAATACAATCTACTAAAAGACAGGTTTGCTACAGCCAGGTTAGTTCCAAATTTTGTGACAAAACTCTTTGAACGGCGACCATGTGAAAAAACACAGTGATTTGGGTATTATATTAATCTGTCCACATTGGAATCTCTAAATCATATAACAGAACCCTGAGAACATTAAGTTCTGACATTGAGCAACTCCACTGATTATGCCAGAAGGTAGCACTATGTAATAAATAGGCATGAGACTGAACTGAAAAAGGTCCATCTTCTACGGACCAACAGGCTCATAACGCTTCAGTAAATAATACGAACATCCATTTGCTAATACAGTCCAAGTGCTCAATCTCCTAAATAAATATCCTCTTCAGAAGATTTCTAGTGGACTGTCATGAAATAGATAAACTCTGGTCATTGAAAAATACACTATCAACATTAATCTTTTTGTCCTGGTAACAGGACAATTCAATGGAAGGATCCAATAACTACCTTTCTTACAGTGAAGAAGAATCAGCTGAAAGCACACAAGAAAAACAAAAGGGACTGAAACATCAGAGAGTGGCAAATAATCAAACAGGAAATGGAAAAGATGAGATTATCATTTACAGAAGGTGCTGGGAAAGGAAACTAAACAATAGTGTAGTAGCTTCAAGAACCCAAAAAGTATGACTGAGCACTAGACTGTTTGGTGTCAGATAATAATATTAATCAACCAGGCATATCAGAATCTTAGAATGCTAGGCCAGGCGGTTAAGTCTTAATCAGTGAAGTCAGTAAGTAGAAACCTCTTTGATCTCTCAAATTATCAAAAAGGACGAGCATTGTGGTAATTTGTCTTGTAACAAAATATGCAAACAAGCAGGATTGAATATTAAGGAACATTAAAAAAAGCAATTTGGGAAATTTTTACCTGATTTTCTTTAATCCAGGACAATAAGCCCGAAAAACTAAAGCTGGCCCAGTTTCCACCATAGTAATTTCTCCTGCAAATAAAAAACAACAGTGAGACTTGATGGACAGATAAAACCCAACCTTTTCAGGTTTAAAGAAAAAACAACCAAGTCTGAGACGTTCAAAATATTTTCCATGACAGATTTTACAGATGCAGAATATAAAAATTGGTATAATATTTCACAACTCCTAATGAGATGCAAAATTTCCATTTTCACTCATTTGTATGCATCTCTGACCAAATAAGACTACAGTCCAAAATCAAATTATTTGGAGGGTAAAACGAATGCC